AAATTCATACTTACGGTATTGTCTTTTATTGTCAAATTAGCACCATACCCATATTAAATTTTTTTATATAAAATATAAATAAAAAAATTGCGATGTATTTATAGTTATATAAACATACAATTTTTATAAAATTAGTTTCACTTCAAATATTTTGAACATCAATATGGTTCATTCGTCCAATAATACGGAAAACTTAATATTCATATAAAAATTGAAAATTAAATTTTTAAATTGAAAAAATTAATTATAAAGTAACTATATTGTGCTATAATTATATAACAATAACATACCATCTTTGTAAAATTAGTTTCACTTCAGATATTTTGAACATCAATATGGTCAATTTATCTAGTAATAGATAAAATTTAATATTCATATAAAAAATAAAAAAAAATTATAATTATAAGTTAAAAAAATAATTATAAAGTAAGTATATACCGTAGGATAATTATGTAACAATTTTTAATATAATTATTATATATGACATAATTAAATTATTTATACACATCAGAACAACTACTTAAATAAAATAGAGAATTTGTTTTAAAAACTTATTTTTAGTATTTTTTTTTTTATAAAAAATTGTGGATAATTTATCTTAATTTTGAATTGCAAATTTAATAAATAAGCAAAAAGTAATTTAATTCAATAAATAGTATCACTGAAATATCAACTACAATTATTCATACTTATTTTTTAAAATAAAATTAGACATTAACTTATAAATAAAAATATTATATTAAAGAAAATTATTTAAAATTTATAAAATTGACTAAACTTAGTTTAAAATTATTCAAATATATATTAATTGAATATAATATACATGATAGATAAGAATTAACAATAAATTTACATAGTAAATACAAATCAATAAAATAATATTTCATTGGTCTCGCCACAGATGACTCATTTTCGTTTTTTTTTTGTCCGTTCCACAAAATATGACATTTTTCTATTTTTAATAAATTTATCGATCTTAAATACATTTAAAAAATATAAATAAATTTAATTAAATTTTTAATATTTTACACATATGACCTACTCAAAACCTTTTATTTATGTCTCCTTAATTAACAAATATTTTATTTACCTTTAAAACTCTCAATTTTTTTACAAAACTAATTTAGGTTAATGATAAATAAATAAATAAATTTTTTTGTTTGTATTAATAAAATGTATTCTCTAACATATAATATTTAAAATATTCAAACACATATTAAAAAAAAACTTTAATAATTAAATAATAATAGTATTTACTATTTAAATAACTAATTTATACTACATAAATTCTCATGTCCAAACAAAATGTTTCATCTTTGTCGGGACGAATGAAATATATTTTAGTACTTGTTGAATTCAATATCTTTTGGAAAGCGATAAAGTTAAAAAAAATTCATGAAAAAAAAGTTAATATAAGAATAGAAAATGAGATTTAAATAATTTAGAAATTATCAATTATAAATATTATTAAGTTTATAAAAAAAAATGTAAAATAAATAAGATCTTGCAAAATATAAATAAATATCATATTAAATTATTTATACACTATAAAAAAGTATAAAAATAAATTCGTGATTAAATATCTTCTCCAAAATGGTAAAATAAAAAAAAGGAAAATTTTTATATAAGAATGATGAAACTAATTGAAAAAGAAAAATCATATAATAATGATACAATATGATTTGAATGCTTAAGGTTTTGACACCAAAAAATATATACAGATCAAATAAAAATAATTATAAAAATATAATCTATAGAACTAATTATGTTTTTTTAAACTTAAAAAAAATCGAAATTATAAACCTACATTCCTTCTGCATCTTCATCTTTGTCTTTTTCTTAAATCAAAATAAATATAAAATTAAATTCATTAAAGAATATGAAAAAAAAAAAAAGATGAAAATATGAGTTTCAACCAAATAAAAAGTAAATTAAAAAAAAAAAACTTTATAAAATTTTAAAAGTGTATATATATCAACTAATACTATAAAAGAAACTATAAAAAAATATATAAATTTTAAAAACTGTAAATACCCCACTATAATATGATACAAACTGTAAAAAATAAAAAAATCTCAAAAATCTCATAATTAAATAATCAGACACTGATCTCAAATACATAATATATAGATACTTAAATTAAATTGAGTATCTCTAATTGCATTTTTAACTTAGTTCAAATAGCAACTTAGAGCAAACACTTTTACCAAATTACAAAATAAATTTTAAACAAATTCAATAGTTAATTGTTGAAATGAGTTAGGATCTTCTAGCTCACAGTACAGTTAGACTAATAAATATTTTTTTGGTAATATCACAAATGTTGTAGTTTAATTTGAAAAGCAATTAACTTGTGATTTTTGAATAAATAATGAAGAATAATTATTAGGTGAGTGTCCGTGGTTATAACTAATGAAATTAAATATTTATCAATGATTTACTATTCAAATTGTGTGGAAAGTTATTTTATTGAATTTATTTTTTAGTTGTAGGATATTTTTTTCATAAATTTTTAATTTGGTATTTTTATTTAAAATCCCCTATTATATTATATCTATAAATATGAAAGAATAAAAAATAAAATTATACTATGTTATTTTTAATTATGTGCTGAATAAAAAATTTCAGCACATATGCCTGAATACTTGAAATTAATTATTTTAATTTAAATAATTAATTATATATCATCAATTTGTAAGTGTTCAGCATGAGTGCTGATGATTTTCATTCAGCATCCAATCCAATCCCCTCTCTCTATTTAATTAAAATAGACTCAACTGTATTTCCTAACTAAAATCAAGATGATTGAACCAATTGCGGTCTAAATGACAATATTTCCAATTCAACTATTAATGAATTTCATCAGCTTTTTTTTAACCCGCAAAAATATTCAACAGTTTTCATTATCAAAATCTTTCATCAAAACCTCATTTCAATTCATTCAAAAAAATCTCTCAACCGTGGTCAAAATGTTTGAAACAAAATTTCAATTAAGCAAATTGGCATAGCAACTAATCACGAAAATTTTACAACGTCAAGTGCATAAAAACCCATAGACACATAAGCAATGGCCTTTCATTTCAATGAAAACAAGGCTAAGTTAGTATTTCTATAAACCTCACAAAGATTAAGACTTTTAACATTATACACTAAAACCAAATAAATTCAAATGGTTAAAATAACTAGGGTTCAGGGAGATCTTGTCGTTGATGACTCAATCAACACGATACCGTGAAGATCTAAGCATGATTTGACTTTTACTTTAGTTTTTTCATCAATTGCTGACTGAAAAAGTTCAAATTTACAATTCAACAAGTGAAAATATCAATTAAAAGAAACATAGTATTTGTGTATTTCCACCTACTATGTGTATAAATAATTAAATTAACATGCTTAAAAAAGTTGATATCGTATAATTGCTAATCTTGGAATTTCGAACTACTAGATTTTGTCAGTAGTTCACTACCATTAGTATATTGCACCTTTGCAGTAAATGTTTTAGATTTATCTACACTACCATTTTGCACGCGCAAGATTCTTACTCTTAATTTATCAATATCATAGAGTTTATATAAATTGGGTTTGTTTGATAGATTTGAAATTGATTTAAAATAAAATATTAATTTGATTTTTTTTTTAAAAAAAATATTTAAATGTGCTATTTTTTTTTTTTTAAAAAGTAATATATTTTAATTAAAAATTATATGAAATGAATAATAATATAATTTCAAATTAAAATCATACCAAACATAGTCAGTCGACTCAAATTTTGTTCCAAACCAGGTAACATATATAATGTAAATTTCTAAAAGTATTACAACTTATTTAATGTGTGAAGTTTAATGCGCAAGTGCTAGTCAAACCATTGTAGATCAAGAGGTGGCACATCCTCGTTTGAGAGTTGGGTGCCCAACCCAATTCTTAAAACCACGACTAACCAAAGAAGATATGTATTAAAATTTATTTTTAACTTTGTTCCAAAATTTTCTTAACAATTATCTAATCTAATTTTAATTATAAAATTAAATTCTTATGTATCACAAACTAGGTTCGGAAGTCCACTTCCACACCAGCCAGTCATATCTGGGACACATATAATTCATTTATTGTTTATATGATTAGTATAATTTTTATTTTTTAAAATTTATTATTATATTGTTCATTGATAATATTTTAAAAAAATAAATAAATATTTGTTCACATAACCTATCATTTATTTTTGCTCAAGATCTTAAAAAATTCAAGATGGTCCTGCTTGTTATGCCAAATGAATCCGTATTAAGGTCGCGGAAATGGCAGATCATTGGAAGGTGGGCAGATTTATGAAAACCATGCCCAGTGAAGCAAAAAGAAAGGCCCGTGACTTTGAGAGATTTGAAAGACAAGTGCAATGCTTTGGAGGAAAAATGGTAAGGTCCAGTCCGACTTGAAGAGAATTTGATCCAAGAAATGATAATCGCCCAAGAGAAGTAAGAAGAAAGCTCAAGAATAACTTAGAATTGGATAAAAATATGGATGAATTTATAAAAATATGAATGAACTAAAGTGAAAAGAGAGCAGACAACAACTTTGTTGGAATGAGCAATTTTGAAACTACCTTACCTTTTTTTCTGAAACTACCTTACCTTTTGTTCATATATCATCTTACACAAGACTAGTCCAAAGACTTTAGTCAGCCAAAAATTTCACATTTTTTTAACAATATTTACTAATTTCGCATCTTTGTATAGTTTAAAGCATGTTTTGTTTTCTCTTCTAAATACCAAAGTATGAATACTACAAATTCATTAATCAAACTATCCGCGATAGACCCAGTCGGTGTTTTCTTCTTTTAGTTCTTTTTCAAACTTATTTTCACTTCATAAATAAAAGATGGAAGGATTAGCAAAAACAACGTACAACATCACACTGATTTCTGAATTACAAATACAAATCCACACACACACACACATATATATATATATAATTGCTATGGTAAAGCCAGAAAATGTTGTCAACACTGGTTTTTAATCCACACATTCATTACTGGCAGGCAACACTGCATAATCTTATGCATAATGATTCATTATTCTATACAAAATCCCCAAGACCCTGAAACGAAAATACATATAAACACACGTAACCACAAGAAAAATTGATAATGCGGACTAGTTACGGTCCCATTCCCATTCCAATTCCAATTCCAATTCCAATTCCAATTCCAATTCCAATTCCCATTCTCATTCTCATTCTCATTCTCATTCTCATTCCCATTCCCATTCCCATTCCCATTCCCATTATGATGTGATCTCTATGTTCAAGTTGTAAGTACTCACCTGAATCTACGACTCATTGAGAAACACTGCACTGTGTCCATTAGCTTTCAGGAATTTCTTCAACAAAAGGACAACAATGGCAATTGTGAGCCCAAAAGCTGCCCATGTCAGCAAACGATCGTCAGCCTGTCTGGGAACCACCCTTGCCACAAGCCTCTGCTGCTCACTTGTTGGTACATCCGGAACCGAATTTGATGCCTGGGGATCACGGGTACTTGGAGGGGTCTCTGTAGGCTCTTCAGCAATTGCTGCTGCATCTTCAGATGGATTAGTAATGCTTTCAGTGACTTCATTTTGTGGTTGGGATAGACTTTCATTCCCGTCATCTCCAGTCAGTACTTCTGATCCTTCCTTGCCTTGAGGTACCGGAGGTGCTTTGCTTAGCATGTATTCATGAATCTAAGCGACCAAACACGCTAGTTTAAAGTCATGTATGTCATACAGACTAGAGATTAAAACAGTAGGACTCAACCTACTTCATCAATCAACGTTTGGCGCTCAGGGGATCCATATTTTGGGGGGGCTTCACGGGATTTGATTGCAAGGGCCCGCCTCTCTTCTTTTGTGTAATCCAATGATCCAAGTGCACCATTTGGGCTTGTAGGCATAAATGCAATTAATGCTGTCAAAGCAGTCCGAACTGCAAAAATAACCATACAACAGAATTCATTACTCTCTAACAAATTGCTTTTTTATCATGTCATGCTACTAGCCTGATTAAATATTAGCATAGAAAGGATCTCCCAAAACAATGCACCGCTCCAAGATGGCTGCCAGTGCTCAGGATGATGATTTGAAATGCTCAAGCATATCTTGGTTTGGGTCTCAAATCGACCATTAGGCTGTTATACAATAAAATAAAAGATCAAAGTACTATCAAGAAGTTTGTGCACATACAAAAATGTCCAATTGATTCTGGTGAGATACTCTAGAAGATTGAGGCTATACCGTCAGCAACATAAACGAAGGTGGCTTAAATGGATATTCAGCAGGCAACTGAATTCTTCCATGATATATTCCTCCCTCAAACTCTGAATCTTTCGGTCCTCTTATCGCAAATTGCCATTCAAATATATTCTCCTGGCATACAGTTCAATCAATCTCCTCAGGTCAAGAGAAAACAATTGCGTCAACTATGAACAAAAGTTCAATACATCCATCCTATGTCACGGGTAAGGATTTACGAACCAGAAACAGTTTCTTTCTTCCCTAAACGGATGCATGTTTCAGAAGGTACAAATAAATTTTAGACAAAATTAAAAATTGAAACAAATTCAAAATTACGCAGCAACCTGAAAACAGCCGAAGCCAAAAATTATATATATATATATATATATTATTTATAAACCACTGTTTCTTAAAAAAAATAAAGAAAAAAAAAAAGAAAAAGAAAAAAAAAACAAGGTGAATTCGTCTAACCTACAGTATAAAATCATCATGTTGTAAACCGAAAATGATAAGAGCGCAATTCAATTATCGCTCACAAATCAACTCTGCGAATCGATTGTAAACTAAATCAATCAAATGGAAATTCGAATCAGACAATCAGAGATCTCATAAATCCAGATCCAACCAATCTCAAAATATTCCAGTAAAGCCTAAAAAGGCGTAAATAATTCAAACCTCGAGAGGAAGGCTCATGAAATCATCAGAAGGATTCGCCTGCATCTCTTTGACCTCCTGCAAAATCCTCTTCACCGCGGGATTCTTTCTATTGTACTTGTCCTCCGCCATGTCTTCACAACACCGAACCTCCCCGGAAGATCGCACCGCACCAACAAAAACAGAGTCGGTTGATGAAATGATAAAAGAGGGATTCAATTCAACATCCCCACATCTACATCCACAATAATAATAATAATAATAATAATAATAATAACACGTCATTAGGGGGGGTTCAGGTTGACGTGTCTGCAGCCAATTGGCTATTCCCTCACCACCCAGCGGTTCATTCGGATGTCAATAAATTTACAGTGATAACCGAAGACGCGCTTACGTTTATATCAAACTCGTTTTCAGAAAATAAAATAAGCGTGTTTCATAACAAGCTAGCATGCATGAAACAAAACCAATCATACATTACAAACTCCTGTCTCGTGGTTTTATCATGGGGTGTCAATTCGTATTTTTGGGTCGTGTTCGTGTCGGATTGAGCGATAACAAAAAAACTGTCAATGCGAACCTGATCCGAACCCGAAATCTGACCTAAAACCCTAGACCCAAACACGACACGAATTTTTTCAGGTCGGGTTCAGGTTGACCTGAATTAGTTTTAGGTCACCCGAAATCCGAACAAACCCGATACGAACCCGACACGAAACAGACCCGAAAATTTTAAAAAAATTAAATTGACCTAAAAAATATCATTTTTATTTTAATTTTTATATTATTTTAAATATAAAATAATATAAAAATTAAAATAAAAATGATAATAATAAGGTCAACCTGAAACACGAAACACAAAACACAAAACCTAACCTGATTTTGATATTTCAGGTTATTAGGTCAACTCGAAACACGACCCGAACACGACACGAATTTTTTTCGTTTCAGGTTCGGATCGACCTGATTTTTTTCAAACCCGAAATACCCAAATCCGAACCTGAAAAATTTCAGGTCGAACGGGTTCGATTTTTCGGGTCGGGTTTACTTTTGACACCCCTATTTTATCATACCCAAGAATTGATCGGATCCGATATATTTTCTTTTTTTTTTAAAAAAAAAAAAAACCAAAATTTATTCCCTCGATATTTTATTGGGGGAAATGAAAAAAAAAAAGAAAAAGAAAGAATAGGAGAGAAATTCACTGTCTACTATATATAAGAAATTCACTATCTACTGTATATATATATATTTACCGTATCTACTATATTTTATATTTCATATTTCTATAACTATAATTATTTTATATATAGACACGTTAATTAGCACCCTCATATCGATAATTAGCACCCTCGTGTCGATCTGTTGTTTCGAAAGTTAAGATCTAAGTATTGCAGTTGTCAACTTAGCTCCTGCTTATTTTTGTCGACTTAGCTCCCAAAATATACATTGCATTTAAAATAAAAATTTTGACAAGTAACAGATTTTTATTTATTTATTTATTTTTTTAAAAAAGAGAGAAGATTGTTTTAAACATGGTGTGTTTCTTTTGATCGAGTTTGAGAAAATTTGATTTGGATTTAGTATTAAAATAATGTTTAATGCAATGACTGTCAAAATAGTAAAGTTTGAGAAAATTAATCTAAATGAAACCAACCCATAACTCTCTGACAAGATCTACCAAATCAAAAACAAAAAACAAAAACTTCTCATCAACTATTTTTCTTTCGTAAAATTAGAACAAATGACTGTCCATCAGTATTTCAAATGTTGAGCATTGCCGGCATAAATTGAAGCAAAAAATAATTTATACATACCCAAAATTGAAATCGAACCCGAGGTGATATTGAAGTTGATGTTTATGCACCGTAGGCTTAGAGGATGATGATAAGCAAACACTCGCACCATTCCAAAAACAGAATTAAAACCAGATGCCGATAAAACTCTCATATGGATGATTACTATGATTACTTTGTTATACATGTGTTTTGTTAGTCTGTTTTAGTTTCTTAGGCAGTTGACATAAGCAGTTAGTATAAACAGTTAATATTTCTTTATTTAAATACTCTTCAATGTACTCATTTGCAATTCATTTTCATTCAATATACACAATACAGATTCTCCTTTTTCTCTCTGGAAGCCTGCTGCTTTCTGCCTCTGTTTCTTCATGGTATCAGCAGCAAAGATCTAGCCATGGCAAATACTGATTCATCCAGCAACACTCCTACAAAGATGCATCCAGAAGCAACAGAAACTCTGGCTCAACTTGCAGCTCAAGCCCTATCTGCTCAGAATGCCTCTGTTACACAACACGTTTTATTTAAAGCTCTACAACTCACAAGTGGTGATCAACCTCACTTAACTCTATCATCCTCTCATAACAACCAACAATTACTTCACATGGAGCCATCGCGTTTGGAATGCCTTAATGGCTAAAGGAAAAACTGATTTCCTTAGTGGTAAACAGGTAGAAACCTGATTTTTCTTCTCCATTTTTTGATACTTGGATGGAGGTGGATGCAAAAGATGGATCATCAACTCAATATCATCTGATATACAAGGAGCATTCATTTTTATTTCAACAACCAAGGATCTATGGATAAGTTTGAAGGAGAAATTTGGGCAATCCAATGTCTCTTTAATATTTCAACTTAAGCATTCTCTCAATTCTCTTAAACAAGGTAGTGATTCCCTCTCAATATATGCAATTAAATTACAAGAGCTTTGGGAGGAATAGTTAACCGTTGATCCTCACATCGAATGCACATGTGAAAGCAGATACAGTTGTGATCTGTATACAAAATTGATGGCCAAAATGGATAGAGATATGTTAATTCAATTTTTTACTGGTCTTAATGATACATATGATGCAGTAAGAGGCCAAATTCTTCTCATGGATCCTCTACCAAATATGAGCAAGTTTTATTCATTATCGATACAATTTGAAAAACGTGAAATCCATATCTCATTGGAGCAGAGTGCTATGGCAGCTGTGAAGGATACCCCTTATAAACGTTTTGACAAAAAGAAAAATCAAGTTGAAAAACGAAACTAGATATATGAATATTGCAAAAGAAAATGGCATAATAAAGAAACATGTTTCCAACTTAATGGTGTTCCAGATTGGTACAAAGAGATTAATGTCAACAAAAAGAAAATTGTTGTTGCCACTGCTATTGCAGAGAAGAAAGAGTACACCAAAATTTTGCTATATCTGATTCTGAGTTAATTGAATTGATCAAGTCTATGAAAATGGAAATGGAAAAGCTGATTCTATTTTGAATTACTCAGGTACGACCTCTATTATTTGTTTAGTGCATTTGGATAATGATTCTTGGCTTGTAGATAGTGGAGCTACGTGTCATGTATGCATAAACCTATCTCTATTTACTTCTCTAACTTACCTGAAACATAAACCCAAGATAATGCTACCTGATGGAACATACATTACAACTACACAAAAAGACTATGTTATGCTGCACCCACATATTATCCTGCATAATGTCTACTTTGTTCATACTTTCAAATTCAACCTATTATCTGTAAGTGCTTTATTAATGGCACATCTTACAACATGATCTTCACTTCCTCCCACTGTGTTATACAGGGCCAAAACTCTAAGAAAATTTTGGGTGCTAGAAAGTTAAAAAGAAGCCTCTACATCCTTCACTCTCCATCTCACAACATTAATTCATCAGTCTCTTCTACCTCAAATCACTATTGGTTATGGCATTGTAGGTTGGATCATACCTGTTTTCATACTCTTAAACATCTGAATTTTAGTACCTCCTCTCCTTGTAAACCTTGTGACACCTGTCACAAGGCCAAAAAAGTTTGTTTACCTTTTAATAAAAGTCCTTCTACTGTCAGTTATCCATTTGAGTTGATACACATGGACACATGGGGTCCTTACAAAATTCCTACCTTAAATGGTTGTCATTATTTTTTCACAATTGTAGATGATTTCTCCGGATCTACTTGGACCTATCTCCTACCAAATAAACAAGAAATTCACCATCATATTGAAACCTTCATATTATTGATAAAAAAAATCAATACAACACTACCATCAAATGCATCCGCACAGAAAATGGTTCTGAATTTCTCAATCATAAATGTCAAGCCCTATATAGAGCTCATGGAATTATCCACCATCATTCATGCCCCCCCACACCCCAACAAAATGGTAGAGCTGAAATAAAACACAAGCATCTTCTCCAATTGACCAGAGCCATTCTTTTCGAAGCTTGCCTTCCTACACAGTTTTGGGGAGAAGCTGTCTTACATGAAACATACTTAATCAATCGAATCCATCTTCCATCCTAAATTGGTCCACTCCAATTCAGAAACTCCACCATAAAGAACCAGATTACTCAAATTTAAAAGTGTTTGGTTGTTTATGCTATGCCACAAATATCTCTTCTCTTAAAAGTAAACTTAACCCTAGGGCTGTTAGATGCATCTTTCTTGGCTTTCCAGCTGGTCAAAAAGGCTTTAAGCTCTTTGATCTTGATCATAAGAAACAAATCATAGCTAGGGATGTTGTGTTTCATGAAACTGTATTCTCTTTTGCATTTTTTTGCTGGTGATTCTCCTTCTGTCCCATCTATGTCTCACTCTCAGCCCATGCCTCATATTGAGCTTGATGACCAACCCCCTAACTCCCTTTTACCTCTAATTACCAATCCCTTTCCAGCAACACAGACTGATCTACCAGAACAAACCTCTATCTCCTCACCTGAACCTGATCATTAATCTCTATCTTCTTTACCTTAATCTTCATCTTCTTGTGTTCCACCATCTCTCATGCTTGATCAGTCAATATTTGATTATGCAACCACCCCCAATACCTCTCCTCAACCTCATCCACATACTTCTCACTACCCTAAAAGAGTCCATAAACCTCCAACTTGGCTTCAAGACTATATTACTACCTGCTCTCACTCACCTAAACATGTTTGGCACGTAATCTCTAATACCAACTTGCAGGAACCAAAATCCTTTGCACAGGCTCAACAAAATCCAGCTTGGAGGTTAGCTATGGATGAAGAATTGACTGCTCTTGAATTAAACAAGACATGGGAAACCACTTCCTTACCCAAAGGGGTAAAACCCATCTCTTGCAGATGGATTTTCGGAATAAAAATGCAATGCTGATGGGAGATTTCAGCGTTATATGGCTTGATTAGTTGCTCGTGGATACTTATAGATATTAGGGAAAGATTACAATGAAATATTTGCTCCGATTGCCAAACCAGTCACATTAAGACTACTCTTTGCTATGTCCTCCCTGCATCGATGGACTATTAATCAATTAGACATCAACAATGTTTTCTTACACGGGTATCTTGATGAGGATACCTACATGACACCTCTACAAGGCAGTAAGATTCCTCTTGGACATGTGTGCAAACTGCGGAAGTCACTCTATGGTTTGAAATAAGCCCCCCGTCAGTGGTATAAGGAATTCAAGTCCAAGCTTTTTATATTTGGTTATGCCCAATCGTGCTATGATAATTGTTTGTTTACCTGCTCCCATAATAGCTCCTTTACGGCCCTTGTTGTCTATGTATATGATATCCCTTGTTACAGGAAATGATCCTCAAGCCATCGTCTTTGTCAAGGACTTTTTACACAAGACATTTACTATCAAAAGCCTTGGACCTGCTGATTGCTTTCTTGGGATTCAAATTACTCAAACTTCTGGTGGCATTATTGCGTCTCAATATCGTTACTTGGAGGATATTCTACATGAAGCAGGCCTTCAAGACTCAAATCCTTATGCCACCCTTGTTGTCCCTGGCTCCAAATTGCAAAGAAATAAAGGCACTTTACTTCAAAATCCTGAGAAATACCGTCGTTTAATCGGTCGTCTCTTGTATCTCACCATGACACAACCTGATATATGTTATGCGGTCCAGCAACTAACTCAGTTCATGTCGGCTCCCACTAGTGAACATTGGAAGGCTTCGTTGCCGGTGCTCCACTATCTCCATGGTTCTATACACCATCATTTGGAGTTTTCATCCAAGGGATCTCCTGCCTTAGTTGCCTTTGCTGACGCAGACTGGGCCAGTTGTCTTGACTCCCGACACTCTCTCACAGGCTATTGCAACTTCTTAAGCCCCTGTCTTGTCTCTTAGAAGACAAAGAAACAAGCCACAGTGGCCGGTTCCTCCGCTGAAGCAGAATACCGCGCTCTAGCCACTGTTGTTGCTGAACTGCTCTGGATCATTTACCTCTTACGCGATCTCGAAGTGCCTCAGACTCTTCCTATTCCTCTCTACTGTGACAACCTGTCCTCCATCCATATAGTGCAAAACTCTGTTAATCATGAACGCACCAAACATGTTGACATCGACTGTCACTTTGTTCGTGATCACTATGTTGTTGATCTGATTAAACCCATCCATGTTCCATCCTCTCAACAGTTGGTAGACATCTTTACTAAGGTTCTATCGACACACAACTTCATTTCAGCTCGGTCCAAGCTAAATCTGGTTTGTTTAAGTCCATCTTCGCTTGAAAGGGGTGATGATAAGCAAACACCACACAATTCCAGAAACAAAATTGAAACCAAATACTGATAAAATTCTCATTAATGATTATGGATGATTATTTTGTTATACATATGTTTTGTTAGTATGTTTTAGTTTATTAGGCAGTTGACATAAGCAGTTAACATTCCTTTATTTAAATACTCTTCAATATAATCATTCGAACGAATATACACAATAGAGATTCTCATTTTTCTCTCTGGAAGTCTGCTGCTTTCTGCCTCTGTTTCTTCAGAGCGAAACCTAGCCTAAGCTTCGCAACAAACAATCAATTCTAAAAACAAAATTCCAAAAAAGAATACTTAAATTGAACAAAAAAGGGAGAATAAATTTTTACCCAAACCTATATAAGCTTGTATAAATCCCTCGAACACCAGTAATCGGCAGGGTTGGTTCAAAACCTCAGTTTGAAATTGGATTGGGACAAACCTAGTCGCCATCGAAAAATATTGACACAAACCCAGTGGGAACGATTTCGGCGTTGGTTGGTGAGGACGCTTTCGCGTCGGCATTGTTGGTGGGGATGATGGAGAGAAGGTTGGTGAGGAAGATTTTGGGTCAGCATTGCTAGTGGGATGATGAAGAGAAAATGAATGAATTGAAAGGAAAAATAAAGATTTGAAAAAGAATGGTGGAAAAGTAAAAAAGCGAGGGAGAGTTTAAAATACGAAATAAATAATTATAATTTTAAGATATAAAAAAATAAAAATAAAGAAAAAGTGATTGTACTGTTCCCTTATTAGATTGGATTAACTAGACAGCATTGTACTCCGGCTCAACATCCAACCGGACTCAAGAACACTTTTGTTGCAAACTAATGTTTGTTTTGAGACTTTTTAAATTTTTAACTATTGAAAAAAAATATTATTCAAAAATATTATATCAAACCTTTATTTTTTTTATAACAATAAAAAAATACATTTAAAATATTAAACTAATATTTACTTATCTTAACTATTTCATAGAAGTTGTTACGGAACAAGTACAAACAAATATGTAAAACAATTAATTAATTATGCATGAGATGAGAAGTTTTGAAATAACATGAATCAAGTGAAATCAACTTTTTTTTTGCTATTCTTTTGAGCTTATTATGGTAGATCAAATGATAAGATATTCTTCGTGTTTGAGGGCTAGGTCATAATTTCTATCTCATGTGAGGGGCATGTGTGTTTGAATTAGGGGAAATTTTCACGGTTGGGTAAATTTGCATGTGTGGGTAAAAAAATAAAAAAATAAATAATTGCAGTATGCATCCAACGCTCATCTATGCTTATGTCTTAAAGTTGGTTGGATCATATGTATTTGTTCTAAGGATTTTGGAGATTTTTAATATTCACACTAATATTCTCTTAAATATATCAAATCAAACATCTACTTTTTATTTTATTTTTTTTGCATTATTACATAATTATATCTCAATTCAAACCCTCAAACAAACACTCCCCGTGCAATTCATGCTCTTTTCTATTTCAATCTTCTTCTAATTTTGAAAGCAGCGTGACAAGAGAAGAACACATCAAAATCAAATTGAAGAAGAAAACACGTACATTATTAATAATTCATGGGACAAAAAATATGTATAAGCAGAGAGATAAAGAACTTCCATAGAAGTAGGCGAGGCGACCAAGCATAGGACAGGACGGCACTGTATATTGTGGAGACATTAATCATTATGCATATCACCGCATATACCATTAATTACCACATGCTAAACCAAACCGAACAACAGAAAACAGTGGAGGTGAATCCACAAGCAATTAGAGCAGGAGTAGGAGTGCGAGTGCACCCCATCCACCCTCATACAACACCACCGGTACTACTACTACTACACTTTCAGTGCTTTCTGCCATGCCTCCTGCTCCTGCCTTTTCTCCTACTGCTCTTATTCTCTACATCCGAGTCTGAGTCTGACTCTGAGTCTGAAGACGACTCTGACGACGAGCTGTACCTCTGATGCCTTCTTTTCCTTTGCTGTTTCTTCTTTCTGTTCTTCCTTTTCCTCCTCTCCTCTTCAGAATCAGTTGAAGAGCTATAACTCGATTCACTCTCCCCAGAAGAGTCATCCGATCCTGTAACTGAGGATGAACCACTCTCAGATTCAAAAACTGATGCCTCACTGCCATTGTTAGACTCAGTGTCGGACTTATGCTTCCTCTTGCTCTTCTTTGCACTCTTTACTTTCTTTTCCTCCACTGGGGGGGCATCTGGATTATCCAAATCATATGAGATGGAAAATTTCATTCTCAGTTTTGGGTTCTTCAGTTGCTGAGTCCGTGATGGGCGTGAGATATATACCCTCTCGTTCTTGCACTCGTAAGTCCAGTGCCCTGTTTGGAAGCACTTCTGGCATTGTGAAGCAGTCCCCCCCAGATCTGAGGTTGAGCTCTTGATATCCTTCCTTTCACCCAACCTTACTTGTTTCTCAGTACTCATCAAATACATTTGCCTCTTGGCTTCTTTCCTCTCCTGCCATCGACTTGGCCCTTCTTCCTTCTGCCCATAGGCATTCACATTGCGAGCAGCAGCAGTTGCTGCCCTCTCAGCCTGCGCACGGCTGAGACCCTTTGCAGCTGATAAAGCTGCTGCCTTGATTCTTTCAGCAGCATCTTGAGCAGCAACAGCATCTTTATTACGCGACATATTCAATCTACAAGCAATATTTAAAACATGTCACATTCAGAAGCAAGCATCCAATACAACAAAAAATCAAGTACAAAATTATACATCTTACATAACGTGAAAAATCAATAGTAGATCGATCATTGCCCAGTATTCAAATTCAATTTATTTATACTCTTACAAATACACTCCAAAACTAGCCATCAATTCACATTATCCAATCACTTTTATGATACACAAAATATATTTTAATAAAAATAAATAACCACTGCTTTAGTAATTAAAGCAACAGATACATGAATAATTTCAGGTATCAAAACAGAAATAATACATTCAAACATAATTAATAAAAGTATATTAGTAACTTCTCAATACTCCAACCAAAAAGCAAAATTTATAACGTGAGTACAGCAACACAAAGTTACATTCAATAAGATAGCAGCAAGTGTAAGTGTCTTCACTAAACTTGAAACTGAAAGCCCAAGGACAATTATTCTGCATTCGTAATTAAGAATTCCAAATTTACAATACGGAAAGATATTCGTAACACTATTTCAACAAAAAATCCTCAAGTTGAAAAAGCAAACAAATCTAGAGAAATTGGTAAGATTTCCTTGCTCCTTCCTTTCCGAAAAGGCGTACACATGTTCCATTGGTTAATATCAGGAAGGAAATCGAGAACAAACAGATTAAACCAACCCCGAACAACAAATAAGAAGGGGCAAACTAATCAAGTCATACGCAAGTCAGTCAGATCTCAACAACATAGAATAGAAGCAAACACGGTAATCAAGACATACAACTCGACATATCACCCCGAATCTTATAAAAGATCAAAACAAGGACTTGGAATTTGGACATTAGGGCAGAAAGGGTTACCTTCTGAATCGAGTAACGCTGATGCAGACACGCCTCTCTCTCTCTCATTGATATATCAGCCATTAGAAGTTCCGTTTATTGTGTTTATAACCCTATACATTTAGGAATTACTTTTAAGGGTTTTGCTTGTTTCTACTATTGCAAACAGACCCCGTCAAATGCATTATCTAATTTCATTTCTTATTATTTTCATTTATGTTTTGGAAGGTGGCAGTGTTGACAATGTGAATTATGGGGAATTAATTATAATTTAACTAGTATCGTGTTGTTAATCTGAATAATATTTTGAAATAAAAAAATATTTTCCGTCATACAATTTTTTTATTATTTTTTTATCATTTAAATTTATTTATTTTTTTAATAAAACAATTGTTCTTGGCTTTAGATCTTATTTACATTTTGTGTCGATGTATTTAATCTTAAAAATATTTTTATATTTGTTGGTTATTTTTTTGTTATTGGATTTATTCGAAGATAAGGAATGCCAGATCGAGCTATCTTCGGGAAGGGTCGCGTGGGGTGCGCGCTCGAGAATGCCTATATGATATTGAACAAAGTGTGAAATAATATAATGAAGGTAAAAATTGTGTTACATATTGTTTGAAAATTATTATTTTCAAGTAAGAAATTAAATTATTTAATTATGGCATAAAACTTTATAAATTTAAATTTATTTAAATTTGAATTGGAAACTTTAATGAATAAATTGAATTATTTCAATTTGAAATTAAAATTGTATATTTTTATGAAAAGACCGTGTCTTTTGAATTTAAAATTCAAGTTCAAATCTTTTCGGAAAATACACTTTCAAATTTATTAATTTATGTCTTATCTTTACATAATTTGCAAAGAGGAGATAGAAGAGAGAACGAGAGAGAATGAGAGAGAGACAACCCTTTAGCGACAGAAAGTCACAGAATCTAGGCGAAATACCCAGAATACTCTCAGGTCTCTTCTTTCTTCAGGATTATGGAAATAATATTCTTAATATGCAAATTATCTGCCAACCTTTTACTTGTTCGATTTTTCACCTAAAACTCGAGTTTTGCTTTGTTTTATCCTCATATGAATTTCGTGTAATCCGGGGCATTAATAGGGTCAAAATATTGTATAAGAAAAGCGAATCTACGCGATTCAAAGTACATCCAAGATCGTGTATATCATGCGAAATTCGATTTGTTCTTATTTTCATTCAATCCAGATTATTTCTCCAATAATATTTGTATTTTTTTCACAAATGTTATTATAATATTATTATAAGATACTAATAGAAATATTTTTGTCATTTTTCCTTCATTTGTATTACATTTTCATATAATAATTAATATTAAAAAATCAATACATAAAAAGTAAATTGGATCCTGTTGGACGGAGACAATATTATATTTTCTATTTTTTTTTTATCCTAAAAAAAATTCTATTTTTATCTATTTTTTTTAGCCTTACTTGTTTTCTTTTTTTGATGCTCTTCGTTTATCAATTTTTTAAACACAATTTTGGAACTCTTTCTTGAGAAAATCGGATAATTCACCGAATTCCATCCGGTTCACTTTGATTAGTTGTCGACAAAATATTTTAAACGACACTAGTTTGGTACATTTGGTGGAACGCATCGCATTCTTCTGCATTCATGAATCTATGAAATTGCACGTTAAACAATCCGATAAACTTAAAAAAATAGTCAAGGATTAGAGGAGAAGGAGCGTGTCGGCAAGCAATCCCCGACAACCCTGAGGAACATCTCCTTACCATGGAGGCCTCCGCTTCATATGTCCCGGCACAACAAAAATTTTTGCGTGGATCGTAATGTCGTTTGGTTTGAAAAATGCAGGGGTAATATATCAGTGTGCCATAAATGCTACTTTCATGACTTGGTCGGCACATCTATAGATGTTTATATCGGTGACGTGGTTGTTAAGTCTCAAAGCATCGACGAAAATTTGCATGACCTTCGCAGTCTTTCATTCGTATAAGGCAGCATGACCTTAAGATAAACCCCATCAAGTGCGCGTTTGGCGTTCGAGCTGGTTGATTTCCTAGTCCATCATGGCGGAAATGAACTCGATGCAAATAAGGCAAAAGTTGTTCAACGGCTTGGTCACCTCGCAACATCAAAGAGCTCCAAAATTTAATGAGAAAATTAATATTTTACGACTCTTCATTGCAAACACAGTTGGGAAAATAAAAGTTATTTGGTATTGTTGCGAGGAAACAAACAACAATTAAATGGAGAGTAGAACAACAAGAGGCGCTTTGACAGATTAAGCATGCCTTGATCTCCTCATTGGTTCTAATGCCGCCAATTCATGAAAGGCCGTTGGAATTATATAGTGCGGCCACCGAGGACATGATTGGATACTTATTAACACAAGAAGATGTTGGGGGTAGGAATGCACAATGTTTATTTCAATAAAATGCTTAATGATATGAGACTAGGTATTCGCCGATTGAAATTTTTTTCCTCTCTTTATATTACACTTGCATGAGGCTCGGATATTATATTATACCTTTTGAGACCAAAAGTTTTATACAAATTCGATATTTTACATGAATCACCCCATTCTATGTGGTCGCTTAGTTAAGTGGGCCATGAAGTTCTCATATTTGGTGCATACTTATTAGCTGTTGAAAGCCGTAAAGGGGTAGACCATTGCTGATATTTTGGCCGAACATTCAGAGATACTTCAAAGCTCAGATGATTCGGCCGAATATATTAGGCCAAAACTTTAGCAAGTTACTTTCGATTGCTTGAGTACATGCACCGCGATTGGTGCAGGAGTTGTCGTCACCATTCCCAACGGCAAAATATGGCAGTTTGCACGTCAACTTACACAAGGATGCACTAATAATAAAATTGCTGGGTATTTAATTAAATAGGTGAAAGAAGAAATAATTTGTCCCGCATTTTATTTGATTAATTTATTTTGAATTAATTAAATAAATAATCAAATAAAACAGTTTTTTCCTCTTCACGTTCACTTAGTTAAATAGAAAATAATTTGAATATTACAATTTTCCTCCCTTTAGAGATACACGGAAAGCTTCTTCCTTAAAAATCTTAAATTTTCTTCAAAAGTTTTTTAATTCAGTTTGGAGAATCTTTTATTCAGTTGATAATTCGTTATTTCCAGAGAGACGATCTGTGGATAGCCGAATTCGCTTCAAGAAAATCACGTTCCACGCGAGACTCGGATTTGATTTCACATCTATTTAATTTTGTATTTTTTGATTTCGCAAGATATCAGATTTCGCCCAAAATTATTTTCCAATTTTCCTTAAGAAAATCTATGATTCTCAATCCAATTTTGCTTAATTCTTATCTCATTCATTTGATTTCCGAATCGTTTATCGGATCTGTTGCGGTCCGGCGATTCGCATGCTTGTTATATATAAAAAAAAAACCACATTTGTCAATCACCTTCCCACAAATCCCGATTTCAAACCCTACAAACCCTTCATCCAATCAAATCCAAATTACCTCTCCAATTCCTCTCCAGAATTAGTTAAACCATGTCCAACGATCATTGCCCAGCCTCCGAAGCCGAAGACGGAAGAGATAACAAGGCGGCGGCGGAGGAGGAGCCTTAACCGGAAAATCGCATCGTTGAAGGAGGATACGAAACGCTGGCGCCGAGGAAGCGAAAGAGGATTTTCTTCACATGAAGAAATCGAAGATGTTGGGGACATCACCGGCGATCGAGAGCGCCCCGCTCGATGACGAAGCGTTGGAATTGTTCTTCCAATCGTTCGTGAGACAGAAATTCGGGATTCTCCAAGATGGAAGCCGGTCATGTTGCTAAAGACCAGTCCTCTCATTCCTCTGACACGCCCGTGCCTATTGCACAGAAGGCGATTGCCGAGTTCGTCGGAATGTATATTATGATATTCACCGGCTGTGGGTCGGTGGTGGCCAACAAAGTACTCGCAGGCGCCATCAGGAATTTGCCTGACCTGGGGGCTGACCTTAATGGCCCTGTATACACCGACGACCGTGCTTTAACAGGGAAAATGGATGCATCAAATCCAGGCGAGGCTTCCATGGTTTTTCCTGAAGATTTCAGATGTCCGATTTCCATGGAGATCATGAAGGATCCGGTGGCTATATTCACAGACGTCACGTACGAGAGGAAAAACATTGCCGATGGTTCCACACGTACCGGAAGAAAACCTGTCCGGCGACAGTGCATGCTGTGGATGATTTCAAAACGACTCTGAATCATACGTTGAAGAGGCTAATAATCTTCTGGTGTGATTCGTAGGCGGATTGCGCGGCGGAAGCGCGCCATCGGCGAAGCACGGTGAACTGGTGGAGATTTTGAGCGCCATGGATATTGACTCCGTTTAAGGTGAGTTCGTTGCGGAAATTAAGGTCGATTGTGGAGGTTGGGGATGAAATTAGGGCAGATTTTAAGAGATTAGGAGGTGTGCAAGTTTTGGTGAGGATTATTGGTCAGATTTTGGTTAAGTTCGGATTTCAGAACGTTTCGAGCTTGCGAGGAAGCTTTGGGGGTTCTCGACGCGATTCCGATGAGGATGATCCGATTCTGCAGTTACTTATGAATCCTGACTGCATGAAATCTATGGCGGTTATGCTCCAGCGCGGTGGCGCCGAGGAGACATCCTGCACGATTGCGATCTTCAGGAAGATCGAAAAAAAAAAAAAAAAACTGATTACCATTGGAGCTTCGTTGTGCGGGAGCAAGGCGTCGATTTTTTTCAAATCCCTGGTCGAAATCGTCTCCGACGAAGTGTGCGCGAATGACACCGCCGGCGCTCTGCAATTGCTCGTTGATATCCTCACCGTATAGAAGAAGTCATGGCTGAAGGCGATTGAAGCCTGCGCGATTTGCACGCTAATCGAACTTATGCCGGATTCGAACAGCAGAAGCAAGAGAAGCTTTATGATTCAACGGCTGCTGGCGTCACGACTGGGAATGTGGAATTTGTATTACCCGCGGTTGTCGGTGACGAGCATGGTACTCGAGTCGTTTCCGACGATGAAAAATCTGACCATGATGCGCACTTAAACGTGCAACACAGTCTGCCGCAGATTCAATTTCAAGGGAAGAAAATGGCAGAAATCCATGGTATTAACAGGTTATTTATCAAAAACAACTGAAACACAT